TCGTTAATTTGCCAGAAAACCGAAGGAAATGTCTTTAGAAGTTTTTGTTATTTTTACGAGAGACTAAGATGTATCGTCCGGATAAAAATTCTTTAACTGTTGTAACTCTTTCTTACAGGTTGGCTGTTTGTGCTAGACTTCAATAACTTTTGCTTTCTACATTTTTATTAACAACCTTAAACAACCCATGTTGCAAATGCTGGAAGGCTCTAGTTTCCAATGTTAAGAAGCTTCGTGCTCTTTGAATCAAAGCCTCTCAAATAGCAGGGAGTAGAGACTTGATGGTTCTATATTTTGAAGGGTGTCGAATATTAGCAAGGTACAAAAAGTTTGAAAAATAAACTGACTCAGTGCTGGTTTCTCAACATAAAACAATTTTCATTCTTTTCACAACCCCGTTGTTCTGAGACCGGATACTATGAATCCTAGAGAACCAAAGGATTGGCCACATTTATCATTTGCCATAATGGTTTTCTTATTCTCATTTAGAACGCGATAACTAATATTCTTCTCGATGGAAACCACAACGACGATCTTCTTTTTATACTTGGTGAGTGTTGACTTTCATTAAAAATATGTGTTCGCAGTTTGATTTAGTTTTCCATCTAGCGCAAATGGATTGTGCATCACATCAAATATTAACACCGGTATGGCATTGTAAACTGCTACAACTTCTAAATATCTTGTAAAAGGGGATGGTTGGAATAATCGGAGGAATGGGAACAAGCAAAGGGTCCAAAATAGGGTTCTGTATAAACAAATCAGAAACCAATAGATATCAAGCAACCTTTACAACATGCAAGATTGTTAAAGTCATGGATTATTACCTTTTCCATCAGAAGTAGCTTTGGTTTTTCATTCTGACACTTGCCATTGTATCTTAATATCCAAAAGCTTGAGATAACGCAGAACAGAACAATCATTTTGTTGTTGTCTTTATGATATCTCTCATAGCTTCATCTTTGTTGTTTTTGTCTTTGCACATGTTGGGTAAGAAACCTAAAAAAGTTAAATAAACAGAAGAGGGGAGGCTTTTTCCTTGGTAAACTTTCTCTGCTTTCTTGGTAAACTTTCTTAAAAGAAGGCGTCCCAGAACAAAAATTTCAAAGGGTGTTCATTCAGTATTGACTCTTAGTGGTAACGAAACGCTTTCTGCAGAAGAAAAAAGATGTTGGGATGTAGAGGCAAAGGTTGCCAGAAGTGACAACTTACACGGAAATCAGAATAAACATGACAGTTTTTTCTGAAATTTTGATGTTTTCTACATCATAAAGAAGTTGGAAATGCCAAGAATGTCATCAAGATCACACCTCACAGAATGAAGCTCTTTGTAATACCAATATACTTTCCATCTTTATCCTGGAGTAAGGAATAATTTTGTCTTCTTCAAGGTCATGATGCTCCGAGTGAGAAAGAAGTACGAATAAAGGTGGCTGATATCTTTGAGAGATTGCGTGGAATTGGCAGAGCTCGACATGAACAAAGACAAATCAGGTATTTTTCAGTAAACTTTCTTGCTGCTGCTTGTTGCTGCATTGAGGAACGGATTTGTAACAAACCAAATTTCGTTATTTTAGGGAAATATTTGTTTATCAAACATTTCTGTATAGGACGTTATATCTTCACGCAAAAATTATCCGCAATTTGAATATTCACAGTGTGAAGCATACACTGTGAAATAATTAACCTGCGATTAAATAATGATCTTCTAGAACTCTTCTTGACAAAAACACTGGTGGGCAGGCCGAATACAAGTCCGCGCTATCACAGCTGATGCAGTTAATTTATCATCCAGATCGACCAGAGTTGGTTGATGTCGAGTTCAAATCGCATGGTTTAAAAGATTTTTTAAAAACTGGATTTGGGTATGTATCATTTTCTTTGATATTTCAAAGTATTTACGTGATAGCAGCCCACACCTACATGAATAAATCATTACAGTTACTGCTCTTTCACATTCGCATTGAAGCCCCCATATCAGCTGTTCTTTCTCCGCTGTTCTTTCTCCGCTGTTCTTTCTCCGCTGTTCTTTCTCCGCTGTTCTTTCTCCGCTGTTCTTTCTCCGCTGTTCTTTCTCCGCTGTTCTTTCTCCGCTGTTCTTTCTCCGCTATGCATTGTTGCTGCATCTCATCACGTCGAAGGAAGCCAGTCCTTTTGGACTCTGCTTTGTTCAGAATACTGCACCGTGTGAACCTGAGAGATGTTACTGAAAAAAACACACTGACCATTCGCAAATCGTGTAAGATATCATGTTTTCTTCCTTGCACCTTCAAATGCAGTCCTCAGTGAAATGGTGATGTATTTTCCTTAAATCCGTTATAGAGCAAGTCAGTAGGCATTCAGGTGACTCTTTTCATTTACACATCAGAATTTAGTAGCGATATTAGGCCAAATATTCTCTCATTTTAGAGAGGTCAGTGGCTGGGGAGACAAATCCAGCAAATAGGAGTTTGGCAATCAGCAATCAAATTTGGAAAGCGTTTTTGGCAATCTCCAGCAGTAACTGAGCGTCGTCATGTAGGCCCCATTTCTGCTTTCCCCCAAGTCCCCGCAAAATCTATTGGGGATACCTTTATCCGAATCAGCAACAATAGAAATTACTCTCTAGAACCATGTTTCATTTAACCAGACCCAATGGTGATAAGGGCATATCAGGTGTGTCCATCGTGTCCTCGTCTTGCCTGGTGATTGTTACGTAAAATCAATTCATCTTTCCGTAGGTTGTTTATGAATGTGAGCAAGCCGAGGCCAGATGATCACAAAACTCTGTATGTTTTTGTAATTGGTGGCATCACATTTAACGAAGTTCGTCAAATTCGAGAAATTGCGAAGAAGCTTAGGCCATCCGCTGAGGTTCGTTCGTGTGTCTGCGTCTGATTTATGTCTACTAACTACGTGAAATGTTGTCGCAAGATTGTTGATATCACGAGGCGCGTGAAACATGGTCGATATGGTGTCTTTGAAAAGGGGTTGTGAGTAACTTGTTAGCCGGCTTCAGGAAAAAAGCAGTAAACATCCATCAATCATTGATATTTTTGTCTATATTAAGGCACTACGCACTATGCTACAGTTAGGAAGCCAATGTTAAAAATACCAAGAATAGAAAACCGTCCACCAGCCAAAAATATCGATATACATATTAAGATTATGTGAAGATGGTCGGTTGATGCTTAAGGCCCTTCTGATTTGGAGGAGATGATAGCAAGAAGTTGCTTTCAGCATGGGCCCCTTCATTTGTTTTCTGCTACAATATTATAGCACCCTTTACGTTAAAATGTAAAGAAAGAAGGATATCCATTCCTGGCCGCCATTTAAATTGCAGCTTTTTTCACGAATCACTCCAGTTATATAAACACCGTGCATTCATCAGTTCTGATACCCGGATCACATCTTTGTAGGTGATCGTCGGCAGTACACGGATCGTCACGCCCACAGATATTCTGGAGCAAGTTCTTTGCAGCGAGAACTTGTTCGTCAGTCTCGATTGAAACAAGCTACTTGCAACTTCAGGTTGATGGCATAGAGGCAACAGAGAACGAACGACGGTAACAAAAACGGATGAATATCGGGATATCAGAACTGAATAGCTAGTTGCTATACGCAACAATGGTTTCCACACAGGGCAAGAGAAGAAACAACAAGGAACTGACGCAATTGAGTCTTTCAGATGTTCATGCGGATAACAACTAGCCTGATTATGTTTTTAAGAAGTACAGTTTGGGGAAATACAGGCACGAATCGGCCTGTATCGTTTTTCTAACTTCCAGGTTTTTGTAGCTTTTAATTGGGAATGCAACGATGAATTCACGTGCGAAATGAAGCATTATATAATATAGATTCAAAGATTATGTTTAATTCTATAGAAACAAGAGAGGTTTCAGTAATTTGCTTGTTAACTCGATTTGACTTTTCTTGATTAAACAGATGAGAAATACTGACCAAAGATGGGGAGCTTTGTGTGAGTTCAATATCATGACAACTTTTATTTAGAAATTTCATTTAGCAAAAGTGATTTATAGGCGAAACAGAAAAATCAGACAATCTTCATTAAGACGGTTTGTCTCATATATCATGGATGACTGGCTCAAAATATTAGTTTGGTTATTAAAGAAAATCTTGAACTAGGTCAGCAGTATTTTCAAATGGCGACAATTTACAACCAAATAAGCAGGGATAAGAATATATTTGCATGCGATGGCTCATCATCCAGCTTTGGTTGATTTAGCTAGACTCCATTGGTTTATAAATCAAGATCTGTGCGCAGGCGATCGATAGATATAAAAATGGCTTAGGCCATCTGTCAGTCTTTATTAGCCTATCAATGGGCATGTGCGCGGAATCGCGTTCACTGATTTGTCATTTTTTTTAAAGATAGCTTGAGCCCCTCTAGTATCTGTCGATTGGCCTTAACTAAGAATACAAATGTAGTGTTAAGCTTTCCCAAACAAACTTTTGCAAAGTCACTTAGTGACTCTTTTAACATTGAATTCAGACCAAAATTGCGTCGATTGATATCCAAGAATTCGTTTTACGATGCTGATATGGCTGGAGAAAATGTAGGTGGCTCCAGAAAAGGTTGCCCCTAGTTGTTGTAAATAAGCCTCGGTAGTTATATAAATTACCCGCATTTCTTTTATAAGAAACAACGTATAAGAAACATACCCTTGAATGACAAATAAAATGCGTATTTATCATCAAGGTCAAGCATCCTTTCCCAAACTGCCCGCCCTCTGTCGCAAAAACGGACAGGTAGCCTTGCCATCTAATTCGAAGATGGATTTCCAAAGCTGATGTTAAATCTCGTCTGTTCATTATCATGTTACTGGATGCACATTTTCAATTCGATTGACAAAAAATTCATCCATCATCAATAATTTATTATCAATATTTACACGCTACAAATTTTGCGAAAGTTAAAGCTTCCACGTGTTTTGAATAGTTTATAAAAGTTCTCATTCAGTCCGCCTTTGTAAGATGAACAAAAAATCGACGTGGCTAAAAGCATTCTCGAAGTGTGCGAATCCTACTAAAATACAATTGCACTAATTTCTTATAAAACTAGAAAAGCATACTATCAGGATAATTTACATTGATGTTGTTAGGTTTACCTATCTAATTCAGTAAAAAAAACTAGAATACTTCACGTTCTCTCGCAATGCTAAAAACGTTGTTTCAGCAGTTTAAATTCTATTAAACAATGATTTTTGTAACATTTAGCTAAAAACTGGTTGGTGGTTCTTCACAGGCTTAGAAATTTACTTCTTCACTGGCCTTCATACTTTCCGATGCGACGTCTTACGAAAAGGTTAATATTTTAGATGAATTGCCAATAGGTTTTCGATTCAAACTGTTCTTTCTGAAATATCGAGCAAAGAAAAACCTCGCTAATACAACCTAAAACTAAATATGCCCTGGTGTGGATTTGAAGCTGAAACACATTGCAATTATCGTCTACATTAAAAATAGGGAAATTTTGTCTTATTTCTGATTGAATACCTCAGTTTGTTTCGTCATAAAGTTGATTCCAAGTAAATTCGTCTTTGGCTCGTCCCTGGTTTGGTTTCCGTAACTATTCTTTTATTTTCGACTAAAGTTTCCAGCCGTCGCAGGAAGTTCATCTAAAGAGAATTTTGTGAAAATCAGATCCAAGTCGATTCTGCATGTAACCGCATCGGGTTTTATGAATGGGCTCTGGTTATTGTAAATAAAGATTACCGAATCTGACAAGATAGGCTGGTACACAATCGGACTAAGGTCTTAAAGGAAATGGTGCTACTGAAAAATTGAGTGAACATGTAAGCAACTGCTGCGATTTTCAAGACAATCTGGAAAAATTTAATAATGATTCTTCTCAGGCTGTTATGCAGACAAGGGGCTTCGAAACTGAAAATTATCGGTTATAGGACTGAGGTTCTGGTTGGCAGTTTTCTTACACTAGTCTTCACCTAGCTTGAGGTTACAAACAGATCTGTGCATCAACCATTCCCACCGACCGCCCCCAACCCCAACGCGTGGAAGAAAAGCAGCCTTCGCATGCAACGGACGTATAAGAAATGCAGAGAGAAATTCAATAGGGAAAATAACTCACTAGACGAACTTGGTCTGTCGATGCCGTAGCTAAACCTAGATCGAAACAATCATTTAAAAGTTAAAAAAGCTTTGAATAAGGTTTTAAAGGGAGTTATTGAAACGAATCGAAGTGAAACAACGAATCTTTCACCTTGCTGACCACCCTGAATAAAGTGCAAATCTGCCTGAGAATGTTTTAAAGGAACGAACAACAAAACAGATAATTTAAAATGGCCTCACAAAATGCAACCCAAAACATCCCATATTCAAAATCACAGCCTCCAAATAATTACATTTTTTACTATAGCCTACTTTCTAAATAATCATGCTTCGCAAACTTGGTTTATAAAACTCCTTTTCTTTGTGCATAAGTGAAAATTGTTTTCGAGTTCTCGTTTAAACATCTCAATACGATTTCAAGCCATATTTACAAACATCATAGACAATGCATCTTTATTGTAATCCAGCATTGATTTGAACACTTGGTATCATTAAAAAAGGTGTTTGGATATTCCAGGTTCCAAAACAAAATAGTGATGTTTAGGCCATAAAGCAATTGTAGGTTTGATACTACCAAGCACTCATCCGCTTCCAAACAAGTGGATAATTACCTTCAACTGTTGATTTTAAAAATTATACCATTTCTGGACCGTCATTAATGGCCCCCAGGATAGCAACAATGAGTAAACATTTCGAAGCCAGAGAACATATAAAGAAAAATTTGGAGGCCCTGACTTCAATATTCAAACGCGAAAAGATTTAAAATTTTACAGCTTAAATTAGGGTACTTTCTTAAATCTTAGGAAGGTAGGGTGCTTTAAAGCGTAAATGGGTTCTATGAAAATGGGGGTCCATTAAATAGTTCTATGCCCAAAAAAACTTTGCTACCACCCTCTCCCCTAACTTGTTTGACGAATTCTTTCACGCTATAAACGGTGAAAATTGATTGGTAGTTACCTTCCTCGCGTGGTAAGGCTTCCCTGTAGCCAACGTCGTCTTTACGAATTTTCTTGATTTTAGCACGAAGATTCTCTTCCTGTTGCCATGGGTAGGTGTCTAAAATCGTTTCTAAAGGATCAATCCACTCTTGCTGTCCGAATAACTTTATACCAGTCCTCATTACATGCAGGATGTAAGGTGCTAGCGAATAATTCCACAAATCTACAAACCATTCTTCTATCTCATCTTTTTTGGTTGGACACGAGAAAAACATCGCTGGGCCTAAATGAAATACAAACAAATTCAATTTTTTACAAAATATCGTTTCGGCAATTAAGCCAAAGACTTTTAGCGGCGATTGCCAAGTGCTGCCCGGTACTTAGCCTTCTAGGTGTTTAAGTTTATCGTCTTGAACCCACATCAACATATTATAACTGCAGCAAATATTATATTATTATGTCAGACTTTTCAATGTTCAATTCAGTTTCAAAATTCAAAGCTTTCTCAAGGGCAGTGATGCACCCTATGCCAATGTGTAAATTTCAAGTCCGCTGGGCCAATGGGTACATCTCAAAGGACAACGGGTAGTGCAAATGGATAATACATGGAGTACTTTGAACATCTAGTAAGTAGATGAAAAAAATTCTAACCCGAGAAATGTCACAAGCAGAAACGAAAAAAGACGTTGATGCCTTACCGATGGACTTTTCTGGGGAGTGAAATTTTTCGATAACCTTATTCAACTGCTTCCATACAGAAAATATCCATTTTGAAAGTTTAAATAGGTCATCCCAATCTGAGCTAAAATGGAAGGTTGTAACTACATGAAAAGGCAAAATATTTGTATCGTTTTCGCAAGAGGAAATACGTTCTAATAAACGATGAATGATATAACGCAAAATTGTTATCTAAAGCAGAAAATGATAAAAATGGGATTCATGTGAGCGGTTCCTTTAACATTTACAGGTTCACTGCATCTGGTAATAATAGCCAGACCACCGGCCAGGCAAATCGATTTTGCAGGAGACTAGAAATATTTTATTGGATTTAAGATTAAAGTTAGCGACGAACCTTGGATTGTTGTTGAGAAATTTCTTTCGCAAATAGCGGATAAGCAAACCACAGACAGGTTCTTCGTTGTTATTAAAACATATCCATCTGAAATAGGAAAGCAACGAACCATGAGGTATTAAATCAACCCACTGCAAAGCAGCAAAAACCTGGAACAAACTGAGATGGACAACATTTGAAAGGTTTTTGAAGCTGTATGCAGCAGATGATGACAAAGCCATTTGTGTGTTAAAACTCATTAGGCTTATGGCTTGCATCTTTGAAAATTAACCCTTGAACTACTTTGTGGGAGGTATATCTTCCCACAGGCAATATTGGTCCATTTTAAATCAACATTGCGTTGGTCACTCTGGCACCTTTTGGTCCTGTTTGTTTATTTATTTGCCATTAAAACTTTTATGAATATAACCTAGCTTTGAAAACCTCTTTACAACAAAACCAATCAAAGTTTTGCCCGCAAGATTATAAAAAAGTTTTTGGTGAACAGAGACTGGAAAACGTTATTGCAGCGTTGACATCAAAAAAGCCACTGGCATTTTTTAATCGGTTGTTTCTTACGGAAAAATGAATGGGCGGCTATTTCATTATAAATATTCTCATCATTTTATACCCTTGTACAATAGACCTTGTATTTTCTAATACCCTCTGTCTTATAGACTAATGTGATTTAATCGTCTGAGCTTGATCAAATTTAGAGTTACCTCATCGATTCTTGCCACTTGACATCGACGTCTTCAGTATTGGCTTGATCTAATGCAGCGATGACGTAAACACTGGTATAAAACCAAATTTTGTTATTGCATTAGGGACCAGACAAAAAAAGCAACTCAGTGATAAACGAAAGAAGGATGATGGCCTAATCTGTATCTCATACAGATACAAGCCGGATACAAGCAAAAACGTCTTCGCAATTCATTTTTAAACTTAATCGCAGAAGGAGAGAGAGTAGAAAATCATGCTCCTAGGATGAGTTTCCACAAAGAGTTTGGAAAAACAAAGAAACACAAGGCAATGGTTGTCATTGTTAAAAAATAATCGGTAAACGCACTTTTTGTTATCAGATTCCTTAAGAAGAAGCGACAGATTTTCGATGCCTTCTTGAAACTCCGGACTAAATCCATCAATGACCACTATAACTGGGCTGGAATTAAACAAACCATATTTTAGATGCATAGATCATGAAAGAGCGATTAACAAGTAAGCAGCGTTGGAATCGTTCGTGATTTTTAACTAGGTGACTCAAAGTTACACGGAATTACAATAAATAGGAAAAATCACCTTCGATACAATCTTTCGTAGGAACATCTTAGAACTGTATACAATTCAACAACTCACGATTTGGTGTAGAGCACTTCTAAAGTTGCAATACAGAGTTTCACACTTAATACTATCGTCATAAGTAAATGTTCTCAACGTGGAAAGCCTGCCTGATGGTGGCATGACACGTGTGCAGATTTGCCTGTACTGCAACGTGCACTCTTTGAAAAACCGGTAAAAAATGATTTTTATCAAATTACAAACTTACAGGGATTCTTCTGCTCTATTGTCAATTAGTTTCTTCAATTCCTAAAAAAATATAACAAAAATCCTTGATTTATTTACAAAACAAAAAAGAGGATTTGCTGACAAATAGCAATATAAATGAACCAATAAAAAATCAAACTACACAGGGAAATGAAAGGTCAAAACCCTTTCTGTGCAATCCTATATTCAAACAAGGCATTACGGAGCTGTTAAGTTGACATTAAAAATAAAAAAAACACGAAAAACGAAAGGTTTCCCTAATCAATCTTTGCACAGCAAATTTCAAAGAATTGTAGGAAAACTTGGAATTGGCTTTCAAAAAAGCAAATATTTGAGTAAACTAAAGCTTTTTCTCTGACACTCTTCAGAGTTTAAAACGTCAGAACATAGATCGAAACTCTGCGCTAGAAAAAATATTTAGTGTCAGACGAAAAGCTTTAGTTTACTCAAATGCTTGTTTTTTCAAAGCAATTTTCAAGTTTTGTACCACCAAATATTGTTTGAACCTTGGAATCATAAAACAACACTGTTAAATCACTATATGGTCCAATACTTCTCTAAAATCTAGACCCTAGAAGAAACTTAAATTTAGAAGAATTAACGCTGAATAACGAAAAAAGTACAATAGCATTTAATATCAGACAACTTTTAAGATGAATAATAAATAGAGAGAAGTGGTTGTCTTACCTTCCATCTTTCAGCGTCAACATTGACAGTATGAATAGGCTCCAAATTGTTGTTATTTTCATTTTTAACGATCCTAAATGAATGTAGACACTGTTTGAAGATTGCTTCATATCATTTAGATAATACTTATAAACACTTTGCCCATACTTCTTTATAATAGGAAGGTAAGTTTAATAACATAGGTCAGAAAGGCTTTGCAATTATCATTGCAATTCAAACTAGCAATTTGATTTAATGATCAGCGTGTATGCAGCAATGAAAACAAAAGCAGCAGCAACAACAGCAGCAACAACAACAGCAACAACAACGGGAATAAACAACAATTTGATTTTAATACCTCGATGATATTGTATCTGCAATCATGTGTGCGAGATATGACTTTCCCGTGCCACTCGGTCCGGAAAATACCAGACAACGATGATTCAATGCCAATGATATGTATTTCTATGGAAAGAACAGATTATCTAAATACAGGAAGTGACAAGGTAGCATTAATACAACAATACTAGCAGTGTTACGAAAATCTCTAAATGCAATGTGATAATATATAACCAAGTATGTTAATCTTAATACCTCTAATGTATTCTTTGGTATAAGTGACTGGTATGCCAGCGTTGCAACGTTGCTCAATGCATTACCTTCGAAAAGATAAAGAGGGTAACAGTAACGACTTGGATGCTGATAAAGAGAAATGTCATACGCAGGTCTCAAGTAAGATAGCCTTATTTATAAGACTTATTGCTAGCATAAAAGAACCAAGCCCCACTACACGAAGTAAGGAGAAGAGGCAAACCTACACTACTGAGAATTGGAAAACAATGCGGAAATGAAGCAAAAAAGCTGAAACTTCCGAAGCTTTACCTTTAATTTCCATCCTATGAGTTTTATGGGTTTCATCAGTGCTGTAACATTTTAGATCTTTCCCTGCTCCTACAAGCAACATAAATCGACTACAACTTTTCATTTTAAAGAACAGTCAAAAGACAATAAGGAGTTCCATTTTTTTTCAGTTCAAAATTGGCAGATACGATAAGTTTGAAATTCAAAAATTGAACAAACCTAAGGCGATTTGGTGTCTCCCAATCGTCAGATACTTTATATCAGCATGTGTGATATCTAGGCCGGATTCGTCGATTAGTTTCAAATGTTCCTGAAATAAATCATAAAAAATTTAGCACGCAGAAGAGACTTTTCATAGTCATTCCCGAATTGAATTTAACAAAATAGCCTATGGGCCTAGCTCAAAAAATCATTGTGAAAGCATTATTTCACAAAGCAGATGAGTAATACACTGTGTCAAGCATGGAAGCAAATCCATGGAGAGGGCTTAATGATAATCTAATAGAACCTATAACAAAAGACAGATAATTAAAATAAAAATAGAATATTAGCAGTAATAACAAAAGAAAAAATATAAGCAGAAAATATGATTGGAAGACGGTGGCTTAATCACCAAAGTACATCTTCTTATCCAGATTTAGTAATAACTTCTCTAAGATTAAACCTCGTCTATCTCAGGATGCATTCGTCTTGTGTCGTTAAAAACATTATTCATAAGTTTGCCATACAAAGAAAACCTCGATAAAACATTGCCTTTGTACTGAATCCTAACCAAACATTTGGCCTTACTAGTACGTTTCAAGCATATTTGTATTTTGGTTTAATGTATTCTATTTGGAAAAACCAGTTAGTCATAAGATTCTAACATAATGAATACATTGTATAAAGAAAGCCGGGGATAGTCCTTGAGAAAAGAGGTACTTCTAGGTACTTCTCTATTTGAAGTTTGTAAAACTTTTTCAAGACAAATCGCTAGGGGTTGGTACACTTTGCCTCTTTTTTGCTTGTCTGTGTGCTTTGTTGTAGATTTTAGCATTAAACAAATGCTCGTAGCTCTGTCTTAAAATCACTAAGGCGTTCATATGTGTATTGAAGTAAGAGGCTTAGGCCCACCAATGACAGTTTTTTTCTCAGTTCACATTCCCATCCTTTAATCCCACCCCAATTAATTTTTAGCTTACAATTAAAGAACAGTTACTGTTAATATGTCCACACAATCCCATTACTAAAGGAATGTTCTTTCTAAAAAAAACAACTAACCACACACCACACGGGATTAAGGCAAGACCACGGGATAGATTCCATAACAGTACACACAGGCACAATAACTGACTTTTTATGTGAAACAAAATTAAAAGTAAGATTCATAGAGTAATCCTTTATACTAAATCAGATTAAACATTTTCAGAACAATAAATCTTGAAATGTTTGCTAAGATTAATCTCTTCATTGAAACAAAGAATTAAAAGCGAAAGAGACAGATTGTTCATCAAAAAGTGAGACGCTATGCTCAAACGCTTTTAGGCATGATAGCTCATAAGATGTTCGTTTCATCCCAACTATCACTCTTAACTACAAGAAAGAGAAAAATAACTGAACTAGCAAGAAAATGTATTCATATCGGCCACTTTAGGTTTTAGGAAAAGGTCCATTGCAAACCACGACCCAGTTGCTTAAAAACATCTTTTTCCTCGATACATGCGTTAATTATATGAAGGCATATCTTCTGGAGGAGGCACCAGGAAAAGGCTAAAGCTCAGTTAATAGACTTTGATTGAACGATACTAAATTTTCTTAAGGCTGCAGTTTCTTTTTGCAAACCCCATAATGTGACGTTTTCTAAAGTGCCAACTTTCATTGAAGAGGGTAACATTTGTCCCCTCCTACAGCAAAGAAGGCCAGTTTATTCACAAAAGTGCACTTTCTCCAAATCTTTCAGCTAGGCCTAAAGCAATGTATAAACTGGTCTACCCACATGTCGGTGCGAGTCAATTATCTATATTCAATTGTTTGCCCTCGCAATATGATCGAAAATTGACCTAAAACCCTGTTATTTTAACAATCAATATACTGAAGTTGATTCTTCGATAAAAACTTTACCAAAAACGTATTGACTGCCTCCTCTTCTACTTCCGTCCAAGTTTTCATACCGTCAATAGAAACAACACCGATATCAATACCACCTAGTTTCTAAAGAGAAAAAATATTTGATTACAGATATACACAAAATATTTGATAACAGTAAAGATATGACACATGAAAATGACTGTTGACCAGTCTGTCATAAAGTGATCTATGCCGTTTAGGCAGGGCTGTACATGCAGCAGTTATCTGCTGATCGCATTAAGCGTAGAGGTCTGAGTAACAATATAGAAGTAGAACCGTCCTGTTTCATTTACTAAAAGCAAGCAACATATTACACATATACACAAAGAGAGCCTTTTGAGTAGCAAACAGATAAAATTGAAGGAACCTTTTTAGCCAACAAACCACTGACATGACAGAAAAAAATTAATTGATTTTTTCAAGCAAGAACGGTAGTTGCTGCATGTAAATGAACAATGTTGATGATTATGTCAAGCCCTTCAGAAAAATATTTAGTTTTAGGCATTTTTATCTTCATAAGATTGGATTGAAAGTAAGGATAAATTACGTCGACTGATGACGAAAAAAGACAAAGTTTAGAATGAAATGTTTCACCTGTTTGCTACTTGAAATATCAAGTCCGATGATCAGCTTCTGGACTTCTTCAAGGGAATGTCCTAAAGAGAAAATAAATGACAAGATTTGAAAGATATGTTTTTTTCAATTCTCACAATAATAGTTTTATCTAAAGGGACATTTCCTTCTTTGACACCAAATATTCCCGAGTAAAAAATACGAATGCTAACAAAAAAGGCTGGCCATTAAACTTCACGTTCTTAGAAATAGTGCTATAAACAATACCGAATGAATGGTTGCATATTTGATCACGTGATCTGAATGGTGTTGAATGAAAGAGAATTAGTGCTATAAGAAGACTGTTAAAAGGAAACCGCGGGTAACAAATTTATAAACAAAATATATTCTTTCAGGCGATACTGTTTGCTTGGATGATTGGCAGTTAAAAATGGGCTGCATTGCCTATGAGCTGTAGTGAGTTGAGAAAGGTTCCGCATTTCCACAAAGGACCATAAGAAATAATCAAACTGCATAAATATTTTGATATTCTAAGAATGCTAGAATAAATTAAACAAAATAGCTAGCCTATCTTATGATTCTAGGCTCCAGATTACTCAAGAATCTTTACAAAAGAAGTACTCGACGTTACCTTGCATGTTTGGAGCATCCTTTCTCTATTGACGTAACGCTATATTTGGTTTAGATTGCGATTCAGTCGAATCTTAATGTTTGATTAAGGATCCAAAGCCCTCTGAAAAGACATGGAAAGATCAAACTTACCTTTTGATTCGGGGTTTCGCTTGAGAGAATGTCCGATCTGCTATGTAAAAGAAAATAGGATTATGAATAAGACAGTCTTCGTTATAAACTTGATCGACATATTTTGCGTTGCTTTGTTTTAAATGCCCTGTGGTATGCTAAGCGGCCCGCTTTTAAAAACAAAATCAGGTTTCCTAACAGTTTGCAACACAATATGAGTTTGCAGTTACTGCTTGTTTCTTATGGTTCTTTTTAGCTCCAAATTCCTCTTTTAAATAAATAAATTCATATGATTACAGCAAAAATCACAATTGGAAACATTTTTTCTCAAAAATTGAGCCACGTGGAATGAGAAACTGATTTGCAAAACACAGTATATGGCTTATAAGCAGTGATGTTAGCCTTTAGAAAGAGAGCATGGCAGAAAACTTTCAGACAACGTCACTGGAAATAGGTACCTCCTTAGGAGTTAACTTATGTATTTGAGACTATATGTTATGGGACAGGAGACCTGGATTGTTTTAAACAGAGACTAGCGTCATCGAAGAAGTCTATGGAAAGAAATAAACACCGTGATTTATTGTGAAAAATGGAAAAACTTCTGAAAGACAGCTAAATTGTTCTAAAACGCCTAGTGAAGGGGGAAATTACTTCCCATTTGCCCTACCCATAGGTACTTCCCTAGTAACACATTTATGATTTTCTACATAGTACGTCTTGTATTGCAGGCCCCATAGAGAAGTCCTAGGACATTTGAGCTTAAGTACAAAATATCAGCAGACACTTTTAAGCCAAGATGATCCCTTTGGCTCTGCTCGTATTGGCAAGACACTATCAATGAAGCCATATCAAGAAGACCTTTAGGCTATCTTTCTACAATTAATATTTCTGGAGCAGATATGGCAAATGTACAACAGCACAACAACAGTTAATATGTACCTAAATAATTAGTAATTCACCAATGACAATCTTCCAACTTTTCCAATAAGCAATTAAATTTTGCTGTCCTAATAAGATTATCAATATATACTTCAAATATGCAGGATGTATTTGTTTACGTATTACAATGCATAAAGACAATGATTACGTCACTGAAACGCTTCTTTGCCAATGCTACTACGTCAATTGTTCCCAATCCTCTCTAGGCAACAAAAGGATCAGAAAATTTAGAATTAACTTACTTCGTCAGTTTTAAGAGGATCCTCCCCCGCCATTCCATCTAGCTCATCCTCCTGCAGTAAGTCACCAAAAATATTGGCACCAAATCTCTGCAATGGCTCAATGAATTTTCTACTTTTGCTGTCATGAAAGTAAGGAGAGACCTTTGCAACATTGGGTAACCCACTTCTATCTGACATGCTTGGTGTTGACTGGATTATGATTGGCGCTGGTGATTTTCTTTTTGTCGTGTCTTTTGTTTGAGTTATGTTTTCTGATATTGGTTTAATTCCAAGTTTTGAAGCCTCCTCTTTAATTATTACAAGCCTGGAATCAAGCTTTTTCAGGGCCTCCTTTGCACTTTTAGCCTCGACCTCAGATCTTTGCTCAATTGACGTCATACTTGCATCTGTTTTGCAATTAGGTGTTTTATCCTTGGCCATGCTACAAGCTGCCTTCGTGTAAATCCCTAATTCTGCAGCTTGACACTTTATGTCCGATGCTTTCTGTGAATAACTTACATAATGGTCATGAAATGTTTCTTGTTCTCCTTGTTTTCCCATCAAATCCTCAGTTTTGTTTTCCAGCGAACCAGACACCTCTCCCGATAATACAGCCTCTTTGAGCAACTTAGGAAGGCCTAATTTTGGCAAATTATCATAGTTAAAGGCCTGTTGTGTAATTGGCCAACTCTCTTCAAATGATGAATCACTACTTTCGCTATAGCTCCTGCACTGCAGCAATTTCTTTCTTGTCTGTTAAGTCAAATTTTTAATAGTTAATACTAAAATACAACAGACGAAACTAATTTCTTCGTTTGCATAAATTTCACTTTCTGAAACCAATTCCAGATTTTCGAGGTAAGGATTTGAGCATAGACGTCAGAACCTGGGGGAAGAGGGTCGACCAAGGCAACATGCTTTCAAAATTTGAAAGAATGCACCTTTTATTTGAAATGCTCTCTTTAGTAAATTCTTTCAAAAGTGTTCCTTTTTTAACAATATAGTGCCCCTTTTCTTACATGTGCTTCTCCAACATTTAAAAGCTTCCGACGTCCTTTGATTTGAATCCTCTCATCACAATGCAAATTATCTTAATCATTATTCTTGTTATAGATCTCTTCTAAATGACGTGGTGACATAACATGAATAAAAACAACGTGCAACCGTGCTTTCAAATTAACAAACATGGGATGTACAAAATGAACACAATTTATCAAATCGGAAGAGATGCTAATCAAAAATCAGTCATAAGATCTTGAGTACTTGTGATTCTAATGGCTAGGCAATGGTCACTAAACGGCGTCAGAATTCCATTGCGCATTCACCTCTTATCGTCAGAAGTCGCGACACGCAAAGGCATGGCACTAGAGTAATTGCAGATTTGCATAGGACACGACATTTTTGAAAATTGATGGTTAACGAAAAAACCTAACTTTCCTCCTTATTCTTTAAAAGAAACTCATCAAGCCAAGACTGAATCAACGTTTCTCTAGCTAAATTGCGAACAGGATCAGTCGAGATTGTCTCATTAGCTGGCCTTTTAATCTTCTTGAAAATAATGCTCGGTTCAAATATCGATTCTGGTGACCTGGCTCAAAATGAATGATTTCTCGTTTTCAATATAATCATTATCATTAAATATTGCCGAGTTTTTTGCAGTTACGTAATTCATAGTCCAATCAACAAATAAACCAATTAGGACAAACTTTAAACCTTCCTTCACAGCGCCAGCATATTCCTAGTTTTTAAGAAGCATTTCTCAAAAACACATAAATTTGAACTTCAATTAGAATTTATTCTGAACGTAAGCCTATACCTTGCATTAAAATTTATTCTTTGTAAAATTTTCATTTAAATTATCAGAAAAATTATCTATGGGTTTTGGGCTACTATTAAACGGAAAATTAAAACTTCTTAATGTCATAAAACTTCATACAAAAAGTTAATAATTCTATAAAAGCACTGATATTAAGAAATATTTGCAAAGAAAAAGACCCTTCACTTTATAAATTTATCAAAGAACAACTAGCTTCGCTGCCTGTGCGGCTTTTTCTAACAACACCATGCTTTTAATCTGAACAAATTCTATGTAGAAAGGTTGTCAAATTCAATAAGAAAAATTCATGCTTACGTTTGGTTTGGTTGTTCCGTTAGACAGCTCTCTGTTATTGTACTCTTGAGTGATTGGTTCATTAATCGCTTCACCACAAAGGGTCTCACTTTCCTTTTCGCTGCTTTCCAATGACTTTTCCAGATCTCCTTCATGTGATTGTTTTTCTTCATTTGTAAACGGATTTGTAGGACTCAAAGGCTCAGAAATCGGATCGTATGTAATCCCCCTCTTCACATTCTTGGGTTGCTGATCAAATGAGCATGATTCATTGGAAATAAGTCCGTTCTCTGAGCAGTTATTTACCAGACATGGCTGACAAACTCTTGCGTCTTCAGTTTTGAAAGAATTCACTTCTTTTGTCTCGATTTCGGATGATTCAACGTCACTATGCTGTAATAAATGCTGCTCCTATGGATTAACCAGAGTACAAAATGAAGGCATAACTCCAGAAATTTCGAAACAAATTTTTGCTTCAAATCCACACTCACATCTTACATAGAATCAGACCTTCATTGAATGAGACTGTCTTTGTCAATTGCCAGGGCAGTTAAACAACCATACCTCTCTCTAAATAACAGCAACAAGTAAAAATAGTACTAAAAGTGGCACAATTTTCACGAAAAAGCGGGTCAGTAAGCGTTAAAATCGGTTAAAATTGTAAGGTTTCCCCCTTTCTCTACAAATTCTAACCAAACAGTTAAAGTTAAGAAGTTTTCTGAAAAGTAAGTTTGTCCTTAAAAGGGTTTAGTTCCTGGTCAGTTCTCGAAATCATTTATTACATTGATACACTAAAACATATGAGAAATGAAAGGCTACGGAGAAAAAGTACCTTTTTTGATTTCAAGAGAAGCATTTTCTTTACCAATTCCTGCTCTTTGTCGGCATCAGTTCCAGAATCTTTCTTCTCAAAAGCTTCATTTCCCTCTACCCTTTCTGGCAAAGTCAATTTTCCATCATCGAGACACTGCCCTTCTGGATTCGGCCTAGCTTCCGTGTTTTGATTTTCCTCTTGTCCAATATTTTCATCTTTTCTGTCCTTGAAATTGTCAGTAGCAGCCTGCAAGGTGTCATCAGATTGCCCTCCATTTTCAATTCTCTCCTTCGCAGTCGTATTTTCGACTACAATGCTTTGATCCTTCACAGCACCAGCTTTCTGTATGTCAGCATGCGTCAAATTATCCTTACTTATTTCTTTATTTTTTGCAGAATTGTCAGTTTTCTTTAAACTCGGTTTCCGCTTAATTGGTGGTGGAACTTTTAAAGGCTTTGTCGGACTTTCATGGAAAGTTGGCTTGTCTTTAGCGTCTGAGATCATTTCGCTTCTGAAATCAAATCCGCCATCATTAATGCCTAGACCTTCTTGAGCTAATCTTGTCTCTGAAGCACCTTCATCAAGGCATTTGCTTTCCATTGTTTTAATATCCCCTTCGTCCTGGGGCTGTCTTTGCAAGAGAGTTTCTGCTCCAACAACGGTTGAGCCATTGTTTTTCACTTTTGACTTACTTTCACGCATCACCTGTTCACTCCTTCCAAGATTAGGACTTCCAATTCTTTGTGAGCCATCTTGGGATACTGGCGATGCGTTCATTTTCGTTTCGTTAGGACTTTCAAACATAGATTTCAAGGCCCCAATGCCTCGTTTCTTAGGAAAACTTGAAGTACCCTCTTTGGTTTTGGGTGCATTTGGGCTAACTGGCTTCTCATTGCTGATACAACTGCTCGTCGGCTGGTATTTCTCGAAGTGTTTTTTTAAGTCCGAAACACCTTTTCCATGAGCCATATCAATGCTACAACTTTCTTCCCAGATACAATCAGACTTTCCTAAATAGCTGTTTTGCGTAAATATGTCTTCTACTGAAGTTATCATATACCGCTTATCATCGACCAATTGCCCTAAATACACCTGGGGTTGCTCAAAATTCTCACTTTCCTCTCCAGCTAACGGTTTTTCTCTCTCCAAATCCACGAATTCCTCGATTTTACTAGTCTCACCAGTAGAGACTAGCTCTTCATTCAATTTTTCTACAGATTTAATTAGGCCTTCGTTTTTCAAAAATTGCTCGTTTTGCTCAGCTTCCAAGAAATGTGACCTCCCATCCTTAGCTAATGGTGAACAGCTAACAAATTCTCCAGCAATGTCATTTTTTGTTTTCTCCAAAATCGAATTATCTCGCGACTCCCCTCTGTTTATGAAATCATTGCTTTCAAAATTGCCATTTTCTCCAATTATACTGCTGATCCCTGCCGCTTTGTCTGCGCAAATCTCCTTGTAATTATCAAAAACAGAATAAAACTCCGCACGAATGTTTTCTTCTACAGCACAGGAAATATTCTTTTGTCCATTACGTACTCCGTTTTGCTGTTCAACGCTATTTTGCTCCGATAGTTCCACGTCTGTCATCAAAGACTCACCCTTGTCTGAGACGCTCGTTTTCAAACACGTTGTTTCATTAAATAGCTTGGTTTCGCTTACAGATTGGCATTTTCTTTCAAATTCTAATTCTTGGTTTCCACCAAGGCTAAACCCAAATGATCCTTGTTCAACTCTTCCGTTGCTATGAATTTTTTTATCTCCATGACCTATGATTCGAGGGCTCGAAATTCCATTTAAATTAATTTCGCATGCATTGCTTTTTTCGCAACTTAAGGCTTTTCCATTCAGATCATTCTCTTCATTCGGCCCCTGGGAAATTTTAAGTTGTTTACCATTTTCTGGACCAACTTCGTAATGTTTAGCCCTCTTTTCCGGGTCAACGACGTCATCTAATTCTTTCAAAAGTCTGCTTATCTCGTACGAATTCATGCTGCTATTTGCATCCCTCTGCCGAAAACTTCGAAGATCTTCTTCTGAGCTGAAACAAGGGCTTCTTACTTTGCTCAACCCGAACCCTGAACCAAGATCCTCCAATGAGCAACTTGACCTTTTATCAAGTTGTACTGTGAATTTTCTGTTCGCCGTCTTCTCCAACAAATCCCCAGGTACATTATGGAGGTGCTCAGAATTACAGCTCAGTCTTGTAATATTACTGACATCATTTGATATCTTAGATTCAAAATCATTTGCTATGTCCCTGTCATACCCCTTTTTAATTAGAGTGTGGTCTCCCTTCCCTCGGCTAATATCTAAATCACCAGTGGCAACAGAATCAGAGACGGAAAACCCTTTAGGGTCTTGCTTTTCATCAAAACATGATGTGGTTGTTTTGTGATTATACTTCAACTGGAGCCTTTTCACTCGCTCAAGGATGGCACTGGCTGAGCCAACGAAAACGTCCAGCGAATCCGGCTGTTTATGCATGGATTCCTTGGATTTTGAATCCTGGATTTGGTCACCCACGTGGCTCGAATTCTCGTCCGGCAAAACATTAGCTCTTAAAGGTGAACAAGATAGAAGTTCAGGTTCCACAAACACTTCTTCAAAGCTATCCTCTGAGCCAAAGACTTTGTATCGTGGTAAATATCCTGATTTATTTCTTCAAAGTTTCCATTGACGTCAACATCATATAGAGGAATTCTTTCTGCAGGAAAATCGCCAACCCTTCCATTTTTCACCTTGTCCAGCGAACTATTTGAACACGAACTTTCTATATCTGATTTTATTCTAACAGTTTTCGTGCGACTGCACGGGCTTGGTGCATTAGACATGTAAGAGCTTTCCTTGTTTTCTGAATAAACGTTGCCACCATCTGTGTTTATAATCTCAGCATTTTGCAATGAATCACTGCAGTCAAGGCTAGAGCCCCCTGACTCTCCATCTGATGAAACCTCCTTCACGCCAGCAACACGAAAACGTTCCGTATCCTCACACGCCTCCGTTGTTTTTATAGATAAAAGTTCTGAAGCGGAGGGTCGAGAATTTTTGTGGGGTCTTTCGTGTCTCGATTTCCAGGCCTTCAAGCGTTTAGCTCGTGACGATGCAGATGAAAACTTTGCTCCATCTTTCATTAAGCCGCTCACAGGAGTCAAATTGAATTTATTTGCTTTTTGGATCATCAAAACTGAATCAGAATTGGTGGAAAATTCCGATGTATCAGAGGCATTGTCCTGCAAAATATGTTCCTCAATCTTTCCGAAAAACTGGTCAAGAGTTGGTCGCCTTCGTATGTTCGGTGAGTTCGCTTTCAATGCCATCGTGTGAGCTTTTAATGCTTTCTCGGTCAGTTTTAAGCTTGTTGGATCCTCCTTTTCCGTTAACTTACTCAATGAATCCTTTTCACTGTTAGAACTTCCACAAGACGAGTTACTACTGCTCATACTCGATTTAGTTGAATTACAAAATTTCCCAGGTTCTGACAAGTAACGCAGTCGCCTATCGCGTCTCCTCAGTCGCATGTACTCATTACGCTTGCGATCGAAATTGCATCTCGCAACTGCTGTTATGATTGTATCGCTAAAGGGAGAGACTGGCCTTCCAGATGTGCAACTGTTTGCGTCCTCACCTGAAACCGAACGTTGCCCGCAATCTTGATATACAGTTCGTATAAAGGGCGATTTATTGTCTCTTTTCAATCGCTGTTGACTTTTCGGTGTTTTCAAAACAGCATCTTCTTCTGGGCACTTATCAGTGTTGCAGACTACCTGACCAAACGATTTATTGACGATAAATATAGCGTCGCCATATTGCGTTTCACAATGTGCGTCTTTACCTTGATATACTCCACGCTCCGGGAAGATGGTCCTTGTTAAAGACAGACTTTGCAGATCCAACTTTGTTTTGCTATCAATAGTGGTTTCATCCTTGATTCGTGCCTCAAAAAAGAGTTGTTTTTTAATCTGCTCGAACGAGTGACCACCTCCACTAGCCTGTGGACTGTTTGAGTTAGCATTGATTCCAGGAGACAATGACTTTTGTATATAACTGCTGCTCGAATCTTCGTGATGAGAAACACCGGTCTTTCCCTTCAAGGAGCCTACGAATTCTTGTTTGTTTTCACTCTCTGCCTCAGCACTGGTCAGTGGAGTTGCCCCTGTTACTTCACCTTTGTCTTCTATTGATAAGAGCCTCGATTGTTTCTCTATCTCATCACCGACGCAACGATTAACACTCTTAATCGCCCCTTCATCCTGAAACCCCTTTCTCATAAACTTATTATTCCCTCCTTTATCTGCGTAATAATCTGTAAAGCTCTCGTCGATTAATGTTATAATATTGTCGGCCTCCTTATCTTTATTTGGCCCACTGCCTGTCAGTACAAACTGAACAACAGAACGTTTATTATCTCCTCTTTGTGTGTGATTTCTTTTAATTTGATCTGAATCTAACTCTCGTACAATGCACTGCCTAATAGGTGTATTGTTTCTCCTATAGTGACCCTCTAGGTTGCCCGTGCTGGAATTTTCATTATTCACCTGACTGTTATCATCCGAAAAAACCTTTGATGGCGATGCATATATTTTTCCAGCTTCTATGATTCCCTGCATATTCGGCGATTCCCTCAAAACATTCCTAAAATTCTGATTTTCTGAAACGATTCTTTCATAACAATGATGCTTTTCATCTTTTGAGAAGTTGCCATGGTAATGACCTTGCTCCCGTGTTGTCTCTGTTCCATGACTGTATTCTTTTCTTTGCATGTCCATTTTTTCATCTATCTCAAACATGGAAAGCCCATTGTTAAGTGTATCGTCAGTTTGCTGTGTGTTGAAAAAGCTTCTCGAATTGCTTTGCCATTTTGCAGGGGTAATATCCACCTCTCTGAAACTCCTTGTCTGTGTTCCATGAGTCTGCCAAACACCGTGTTTCAGGTCTGTCATTTCGTTGTAAAAATGATCCCCATTTCTCACTGGTCTCCGTGAGCATGAATGTTTGGATTTCAATAGATTTAAAAAATCTGAATCTAGATTAGGAGCTTGGTTCACTCTTCGTTGATTGTAGATATGATTACATGGTTGGACTTGATCCCAATTGTAATCCGTGCTGCACTTGTCCCTGCCTTCGGCGTTTTCGAAAGACACAGAACACTGACTATGTTGGTCATGATACCGACTGAGTCCATCATGAACGGGCTGTTTGTATTTGTATGAGAAACCAGCTTCGCGATCATCTTTTTTTGGTATTTCGTAGGCCAACGGATGCTGGTACTTCAAGGGTCGTGGATCCTCTCGCTGGTAACCAAGCAACCGAGATTGCTTTGGTGATCTAGTAACTTCCAACGTCCTTGGCTAAATGGCGAAAAAAACTTAGAAAATTATTGAAAACAACAATATCACACATAGTCTAATATCACACATAGTCTAATATCACACATAGTCTAATTCAAAGGTTTCAAAACTGAAAATAATCTCAGTCCATTTCATGATCGTAATCTTACAAGAAAAGACCGTAACATATTACTTTGGAAACCAAGGCACTCTGTAATAACCTAGAAGAAAAACAACTGTATATGGAACCGACGCCATCAGTTTTATGATGCGGACTTCATTTTATTTTAAATCCCTTAAACGCAAAATCCCTTTAGCTTGCAATTTCATATATAACATCTAGTAAATACCAAAACTAAATGCATAAAAATAAACAGTACATTCTCTTTTTTTATATGTACCATTAAATTGAAGTTCCGGCTGGCTGTTCTAAAGTTTTCAAAAATTGAGGCTTGACTGTTCTCAATATGTTCTTGAATAATTAGGGTTCATGCAATGCGATTGCTGGCTAGTGTGCTCTAGAGGGTTTTTAGGCCTCATTTGCCAAAAATGTGAGTGAGACATCCTGTATTTGCTGATAAAGCACAGTGGTGGCAAAAAACTTTCCCTTTTCGAGGTGAAATTTCTTAACGGAGTTCCACAGCATTGTTCAAAACTAGATTTACAGTAGCTCAGCCTCAACTTGTTTTTAATTTGCTCTTAACCTCATAGGCGTAGACTTGCATTTTTTTCAGGGGGAAGGGGGGGGGCTCAAAAAAATTAATGACAATTCCTAATGGCAGCTGTTGATGTCACAGGATAGAAAGTGGATTAGCTAAGGGTTTAAAGGTGATTTTTCTGTGCATTTTTCATTATCGAGGAAGAAGAAACACACAAATGAAATGATTGAAAGTTTATTTTTAAATCATAATAAGTTTCTTTAGGTTGAGATTATCAGTTCTATTTAGGCACCCAAAATGTACTCTTTCTCACGCTATTATCACGTCAGCGAAGATCGCACGTTGCTTTCCTCTGATGCTTCCAGCCTCTCTGAAGGATTGGCCTCGAGTTGGATCTGACCTTATGTTCACAATAATTTCATACTTTTTTGCTGTAAACGCAATTATCTAATGCAACAAATCTTATGCGTGAAACCAATAATATAACAAACTAATCTAAAAATTGGTAAAGCACTTATTTATTTTCCATGGGGGGCTCAGCCCCCCTCGGTTTTCGTCTGGAGGGGCTGAAGCCCCAGAGCCCCCTAAGTTTACGCCTATGCTTAACCTTGTCTTAATTTGCTCTTAACCGTGTTCTTATATAAAATTGGTCTTATATCAAAGAGTACATGGGCATGTTATAGCTTACAAATTCCTCTGTTAACAGGGATAGATTTTAAGCATTTTCGATTTCCCAGAAACTAAAATCACTTGGAAAATAAGTGAAAAACAGCTTTAGAAAAAGGTTAAAAGTTGAATGAATAAAATGTCACGACTAGCAGAAAAATAAAATGTCACAGAAAGAAAAGACTCGACAGTCGTGAGATTTCGCTCGCAAAAAATGAGTTCCAGGGCCATTTTCTCCTCACGGCATTTTCTTCCTTTAAAGTCTCAACGTAACATAGAAAAGTTTCAATGTAACAAGATCGTAACGAATACAATCCCACGCCTTATCTAAACAATTACTAAAGATATATGTAACTTTGTCATCTTTGTTTTATCCCACTTTTGGTACAACTATGTAATTACGGGTCACGTAGTCGATGGGACTATTTTTTGAAAACAAAAACCACATAACGTATAACAACAAATAGGCTACAACACCAATACACTTTAGGTTGGAAATTGAGCAGTTGCAATATATATAGAGCTAAATTGAACTTCTTACCTGTTTGAATGAACGCAAGAATAAGGGCAGTATTACGTATAACCTGTCTTGCAATAAGAGTTCAAAGGGCTCTTGAATAACAGTTTTAAATTCGAATTTATTTAGATTAAAAGGCTTATAATTATCTTGAACAAAGAGATAACTGGAGCATTTACGTAATGCAAAAGTTTGAAGCTTGTTAAAATTTTTCTGATCCTATCCTAGCTCCAACTTCTTTGTATATCTACTTTTAAAGGTGTATTTACAATTAGCAAAAGAACCATTCATTAACAGCTTGGTTTGCTTGACTGAAAAAAGACCACTATCAATCAACTGGTTTAGAACATTATCAAGAAAACCAGAACTTTTGTTCTCAAGCTTCTCTTTGTAGTGAGCCATGCGCCAGCGTCCTGAATCGAAGCACTGTTTTCAGGTGCAAGCAAGCAAAGAAAATATAGCTGCACAGTCCTGGTTCCAGATATTCCAAGCAAAGTGCAAATGGGTGGGTCGTATACAGTCTGCAAAATGTCAACCAAAGACATGACAAGAACCTCTCTTTTGCCTCGTCCATTAGACAAAAGAAGCTTAAGATGATTCTTAAACATCAATATGTTCTTTCAACAACTGCTCTTCTATAACGTTTTAATTTGAATAGAAGCTGATGCACCGGACTTCTATTGAATATTCTACGTAAATTTAGCAATTCTGTTTTAGAAAGAGCAATGGCAATAATATGAAATTGAACAAAATATCAAATTGAAAGACTCACGTAAACATGTTCCGTGGTTTCTAACGCCATTATTCCATTTCCAGTACGTTGCCTCCTAGCTTCATTCATTCGATTAATTTCTTCCTGTTTTTGGGGGCTGTTTTCCTGGAACGTGAGCTTTCTTCTTGGAACACTGCATTGCCGCTGTTGAGAAAGGTCAAATTGCCTGATCCTTACGCATTCTACCCCTAATGGTGACGTGGGTTTCCTTTCATCCATATTGATTCTTTCGTGTTTGGTCTAAAACAGACATTAATAACTTCAGATGCATGGTAAAAAAATGACCCGAGGATCGTAACAGCAGCATGTTTCTAAAAGCAGCTTGGTGTTTTGAAGTTGAGGTTCGTCATACATCTTAAATCTTATAGCCTAGAATATACCACATTTGGAATACATGGTAACGTGCAGATTAAGATTCATACGCTGGCGTTGCACAGAGCCTCTTGTGTTGCTTGTAGCGGACTCTTGTATACCCAACAAAGGATTTTCATATATGGCACAAAATGGTATACAGATTAATCTCTCGTTAAGAAGGAAACCACGATCCAAATAGAAACTTTCAGACTGTTAGATTTGAAACAATGTAAATGTAACCAATTCTAATATTTCCTCATTTGCAGATAAGTCCATTAATTCATAAGTCATGAATATTCATTGGCAACCGTGAATTGTTTGAGTTGTGAGCCAGCTTGGACCCGCTGTTTTTGTCTTTGAGCTGAACCTTTCAGCATGATTGAGTAACATAAATAAGGAACAAATACTCTAGATAAATAAAGATTTCATCGTACTCAATTCATAATGATTTCGAGGTTAAACTAACATAAAAAATACATAAACGAGGCGATAATAAGGAGTTTCATAAAGAAACAAAATGGCGGTTCTAGTTTGCCCGACAGCTTTTTTAAAGATTAATGCATTGAAACCTGTAGCATTCAAATAAAAGATATCTGAAGTTTGTTCGCATAGTTTTGATTCTTTGGAGCTACAAAACAAATACTTGGAAGCATATTTTAAAGAACACATCGTAATTCGATAAACAGTTCACAGCCAACAACTAATACTGTTAACATACAAGCATATACTTCCATCCTCATTTCGGGTGCGGCCTTGACGAGCAGAACATGGTTATTGCTTTTCATTCTTGGCTGAATTATACTAAATGACCTGTGATTATGTTGATGCATGTTTTTTATGACAAATAAAAACGCTGTACTGGTGGTTTTTTTGCTCAAAATCAAAAACAACAGTGCAGAACAGATTGTCCGAAAGGGATATCCTTTAGTGGAGTTATACAATTAGTCGAGTTGCTTACATTGCATAATATTTCAGAACCCTACCCTTTTTATTTCAGAGGCTACCCTTTTTATTTTGGTAACACAGTAGCAATGTATGACGGAGAGGTTATATGAAATGGGACCTCAGAAAATATTTTAGCCTAGGGCCCCTCAAAGCGGTATATCGTCCGTGAGGGGAACCAACAATTTCTGAAGCGTTTTGCAACAAGCAGGTTGATATTGTATCGATTGAGCTCTTATTTCTTTGAGAGACCTGTCGGCTATCTAGTCCTTCTAATTAATTCATGCTACACACGAATATTTTAATTTCGATACTATTATTTCATTAAATGTTGGAAATTCAAATTTTTGTGAAATCCTGTGTATAAATTAACACAACTTATCAGATTCCTTGAATTTTTACACTAGCTAATTTCCCTCAAACCACAATGGCAAATTTATTTCAATAAACATTACTTACGTAGATTGCAATGCGCAAAGAATATCGGATCTTTCAAACATTTCAAATTTCAATTAAAACCAAACATTCTCAAGTAATTATTAATTTATTGAATCTGTGTCTGCAGCTGAAAAACATAGAAGATATTTGATGAAAACCCCGATAAACGATTTAAATAACTGATTATCTTATACATGTATTAAAACGTAGGAAAAAACTAATTTACCGTTTAAAATTCAACTGCTTTTGCAATTAAATTTCTTCGTTGAATGGATGTCGTTGAATGGATGGTTTAGAGGTCTTTGTTGTAAATGTGTTAAAGATTGTGACGTGGTTCTCGGTAAGATGCCAAAAACCTAATTTAATTGAATCTGGTTTTCTCGGGGTCACAGGCCTAGTCATTTTTTGAGTTTAGTCAATTGCTTGTAATAGTTCGCTAGCAGTATACCGAGATCTAACTAAACAACCAAGGAAGTCTAACAATCCGCAAATTTTTTTAATGGCCATGAAGCTATTCTGACACCTAAGTTCTGATTGAGGCAAACTTTCATGATTGAACCCTTTCAAAATACTCTAGACTTAAAAACCTAATTCTTGATTACCTAATTCCTAATACGTGACTTGTTTTTCGACCTATCCTTTGTTCATTGGACAGCATCACACTTTTGGCAATAGATTCTACGGCTAAACTCGCTATCATTCAGATGTTCAGATGATACTAAACTCGCCATTGACGTGAAAACTTCTCATCAAATGGCACGAATGCACGATTTTTCTATCAATTTGCTAGAAGAATTTAGCTAATTTCCTGTAGGGTTCATGCATATAGTTGAAGCATGAATGCTTACTGTAGTTTGCTTGCAAACAGCTTTGAAACAGGCCCTCTAGCCGTTGAATTCATGTTGAAGTTTAGCAATGATTTAAAAGGCTGCCAATAAAGTGCATGAAACGTAAAATATGAAAAATGCAGACCTTACCATTATACCTGGTATGCTCCAGAAAAGCGAAACGACAGCGTAATTCGGTAAATTTTGGCAATTGCATTAAAGTTTGTAGGAATACGGGGTAAAGTGCGAAAATTCTCACTCGTTTCTTTCACCATCCCATATGAACCAGCGTGTGAAATTTTTCTCTTTTCATTTCATTGCATTCTTGAAAGAATTCTTGAATGCTCCTTTTTATTGTTTTCGACCATGAACGATTGGCAAGACGTCTCTTGTGGTCAAACTTTTGCAAAGAACGCAAAATCTCTCTAATATTTAAGCAAATTATGTCCTTTTGGTTTTCATAAGAATACTAACGACCCTCGTATCGCAGAAAAGTAATGAGAGAAGTGTTTACAAATGCAAGATCAGATCAAATCAAGCGGCGAAGTGATACCTCGTTCGTATCCACCTCTGACGTCATACCCAGACATTCGATCCTAGGCCATAGGCAGACGGCATCACAAATCTTTATTGTCGGTATGGCTTCGTAGAATTGCAACACTGTCTTTCCTTGGCTTCATCCGTGTGAAACATGCAAATAAATTGCCAACGGAGGACTTTTCTTTGGCGCAACGAATTGGGCGAAACTGTTTGCTTTTAAATTGTTGTTATGACCGTGCCTGTTTGATCTCATATCTATCTGGCATTTAACTCCATTCAAAAAGTGAGGAACTTGGCTTGCTTGGTTTCTTTTACCCTTGAAAAGACGGGGGTTAATCGCACTTCCGGGGTCGTCCCTTAAGATCTTAACTGTCTTTATTCACAGACGATTATCTGATAATCGTATCGCACCGATATAAACACAGTTAGAAACATGGAAGGCAATCTTTAAAAACATCAGAACCGTTGTAGGCTAAGAGTTTGTGGGTAGATAAAATGGGGCATCATTAGCCTCCCCATCTCCTCCCACGCACGCAGAGCCTTCAGCAGGTGGAAATAGATAGAAAGGGGCATATACAGCAAACATATTCAGCTTCCCACCTCCCCCCATTCACGCAGAGCTTTGACTGTTGGCTGTACTGAAAATCAGGCGCATGTAAAACTACACCAAACGTACGTTGCTTTTACCATATTCACTTTCTTTCTTACAACTGCATAGAATCTCTACACCATTGTTCGTATCAAAACAAAATTTTTAAATTAACCTCAATTTAAAATTTTAATAGAAACTTTTGTGCCAAAATGTGGAAAAATATTAAATCAAGCAATGGCCAACAGGTAAGGTTTTCTGTCTAGAATTAAGGTTTTTTGGATTCTCTTTCACAAAAAGTACGACAATATAAATAAATATATAAAAAATATGTAGAAATCAAATTGTTTGAAATGAAAATACATGAAATTATGAACGCCAAACCTTTTTTTGTAATTAAAGTGCTTTATTGGTCTTAATATCGTGGTTTTACAGTCTGGTATTATTTGAGTGAGAAAACGTCATTTTTGAAGTAGCTAAGACCATTTCATTGTTGCTGTAATATTTCAGGAATTAACATTTCAGAAAACTTCAATGAAGGTTTTGATGAATGATGGACCAGTTCTGATATTTGTTTTAAAGCGAAAATTTATCTTATTATCCATCTAGAATAGCCGATTAACCCTGGAATCAAGCACCAAGTCATCAATCATGTAGTCAAAACATAAGCAGGGTAAGAAGGAAGCATTTATGTCTCAGTTCATAGTATCCTACTACCATCGATCAAAAGGTGATTAATGTACAAAGAGTACACGTCGATATCATTGACACAAAAATAAAAGTGACAGGTGGTACCCATGTAACATGGATAGAACATTTATTCAATCAGAGCTCTCTTTGCCTTTTCAACTATAAACATTAACTAGGCTAACACTGCATTTAGATTTACTAGAAAATTTTCTGTAAATACATTAGTGAAACTCTTTTCTTGAATAATCTGGCGTTACCTTTGTGTGCTCACTGACCTGTCAATGTTGAAAGCGACTTCTCTCATTTGCCACCGTCTTACACATCCAAACTGCTGTTGCTATAAACAAGATGCTTTTTACAAAGCATCAAATTTTCTGTTTCCGCGGAATCCAGTTAAAGATTAACCAAAGATGATCTGGAAATGAATATCCGTGTAAATTTGTTCATCTGTTGTCAAGTCGTAGTTCAGCAAGTTATTCGGTAGATTGAGTCCCAGACAGAAAACTAATAAACTTAGTTATAATTTTCTCGTAGTTGAGATTCGAACAGCTCTGTTAATAGCTAAAACATTGGTCTGTTATCATGACAGGCAACAGATAATGAAAATTTGCGGGTGTTTGCGAAGGCTAAGGCTGACAGCCTAATGATTTTAAAAGCGACAGGTCTTTTTAGCAAGTTTAGCAAGAAGGCTAGGTCTGACTATGGTCTGCCCCTAGAAAATTCTTGATAAAGCTCAAAGTCTCACTGGTTCATATTATATCTTTTGGTGCACCTGTATCAGTTTTGTGTCAGAATTCAGGAAAAGGTACAGAACAGAAGCAAGAGCTCGAACAATGCAGAGGGGCGTTTGTTTACTGTCTAGTGCTCCAACAGAAGATCGTCCACTGCCTTATTTTGAAAAGAGATTCAATCGTCAAACAAGTGGTGAGCTCCGAGGTCCAAGCTTGTTTCAGGTCATTTAGAAGAGGCATTTGCATTCAGTTGTATCCCCGCAGACCCAACGCTGCCAAAGTATTCTGAAACTGGACGGATAAAAATCTGTCGTTTTTCTTAAATGAATCAAAAACAGCAAATTATCGACATAATTTAAATTTTCGAGGAAATTTTTAGCTATATTTGAATGAATTCACAACTTAAAGCAGGTCGATTAATTGCAACAGTTTTACGGGAAAAGCAAGCATAAATATCACTGCCTTTCATTCCACAATGGCGTAACAATGGTTCTTAGAGAAACTTCACCAGTGTTGTAGGAAGGATAAAGTTGTTGGAGCGGCACTATCGTTTGAGAACAATAAGAACAAACCGGATTGTTCCTTGGAAACTTTGATTCTGTTGAATTTTTGAAGGGGCATTAGCCCCTTTGAGGGCATCGGTAGTCACAGTCTCTAGATGTGCTCACGATTCTCAATCGACAACGACGCATCTCACCCTTCTCCTTAACCGTTACCTCTTTTATGGCACGCCGCAGTGGACAAAATATTGTTGAGAAAATATTTGTATGTTCAGATTAAATTTGTACAAGTTGAGCTTCATGTTTGATGTTTCAGTTTTGGTATTTCGTTTCCGAGATTCGAATTTGTTGTCCGATATTTTTATTTGTTGTCCGAGATTTGTATTCAGTGTCCGAGATCTAAATTTGTTTGTCCGAGATTTGTATTTAGTGTCCGAGATCTAAATTTGTTGTCCGAGATTTGTATTTACTGTCTGAGATCTAAATTTGTTGTCCGAGATTCGAAGTTGTTGTCCAAGATTTAAATTGGTTGTCCGAGATTCGTATTTAGTATATTTTCCCAACAACCTTTTGTCCACTACGGCGTGCCATACCTCAGCTATCTATAGGAAAATTCAGCACTGTTCCAATGCTGTATTGTAACACAATTTGTACCTCCTTTAATGTGCAAACCATTATATTCATTTCTATTTTTCACCAAGTTGTGCCTTCGATGGCTTCACGTCAATGAAGGAATTTGGTTTTTGAGATGGAAAGCAACGTCATCATTTTCTTATTGAAGCTTAGAAATGTCGAAAAATGTGCGAATTTGTAGCTTTTTGTCCGTTGGCGAATCTGTAGGACCTAAACCCGATTCAATCGAAGTTTCAATTTGCATAAGGTAAGATAAACTTTAAACGAGAATCTTAGCCGAAATATGTTGCTTGCAGGTTCAAGATATCACAAAGATGCTTTAAATATGAATTTTTGCTACTGTGATAAGCACTACATGCAATCAAAAAAGAGTTTGAGCATCCACATTAAACTAAAGGGAATGAACTAACATAATGCTACTTTTTTCAAGCCACAGCAACAACAGCAACAAGATTCCCAGTACGAGAATTGTTTATACCATTCTGACAAATGCTTATGCTTGTGATTCCCGGTACGTAAAGCTCTGTTTTATTTCTCGTCAATCAATTTTCAAATATTGGCTTGTTTGCATTTTATGCAGTCTTTCTATCAAATAATCTTTGCCTAGCCATGAGTGTATACCCATGTACCGTTGTACAAATATTTTTGGATTAGCAATAAGGTAGCGCGGAAAGAAGAAGCACCTCTTTTAATTGAAGCAAGGTAAATGTGTGCAAAAGCCTTTTCCTCGAATCCATCTAGACTAAATTGAAGCATGACAAGTAAAAAACAAAGTATTCCAAAGTTTATAAAAATTAAAGGGCATAGCATTCCACGGGAATCAATTTTGAGACATGGATCATAAATAGGTTTTAAAAAGAGGACTGTCAGTAGGCTCATTAGACCAAGGTTAAATCCAAAAAGCTCTTTGGAACCACAAAATTAGAAAAAAATGTTATAAAGAATCATGTTATAAAGAAGGGTCATGATAAGGGGAAACAGATTGTTGAGCTTTCAAAACAATTCAATTCATGAACAATACGGTATGAAGTAGATTAGATGCCTTCCTTGTGCCTCTACGAAGGAAAAAGCGCATACGTGAAGCGTTCGAAACCCTCGTGGTTTAGAGCGGATGTGTTATGGCTGGCATGTGGTAATAATTACAATGGCAAATCTTTCATTTCAGATTTCTTTCGACCACGAAGAATACAAAGCATTAGGCCTAGGTTGTGTACACCAATGTTTGAGCTACACATGCCGATAATGCCACATTTCTTAAACTTGTTTGTCTCAACACTTTAAGGCAAATAAACTTCGAGCAAACCTTTCTAAAAAAATCAATTGAGAGAATTGCGAAATTTAGTTCAATAGTCATATCAGTTTCTGTATAGTGTCGTTGTAAAAGGTAGCTAAAAAGTGTCATATCTTGGTCACAGCTTTTGTATTCTCATGCCAGTTTATAAAAAATGTGAGTTTGACAAGCTTTAATTTTTACGTATGTGAAAGTGTTTAGAGACGCAACCAAAATAAAATTATAGAATCATTATAGTTGTTTCAACCAATCGTAACAAAATAAAGTTGGCATCGAAAAAGCATTTTGGCAAACTTTTCGATACCGGGTATTTAAGTATTTGGAAAATCTTACATACCTCGATTTTATATTGTGTATTGCAATACCACAAGCTTTACTTCAGCAATTGATCCAGGTTTCCAATTTCCTCCGGGTGTTTCCTTTATTCGGGTGCCAGAAGTAGTTGATTTGTTGAATTTCTTCCAGACGACATACGTAGAAAACCTTTTTCCGATTCAGAGCATAGAGATCCGTAAACCTGTTGTAGACCAGATAATTCTCAGGATAAGAAGCGTAAATTTGCATTCAGTCGTAACAAAGAGGTGCTCATACTTGCAACATCGAAACGCGTAGGATTTCAAAACACAGTAAGCCCTCGACGGTCCAATTCAACCGGTTACAATGAACAGACTCTCTCTGCTACTGTTTTGCATAGAACAGGCTGCACTAATGACCAATTAACTGCAAAATGGCCAATTACATGAATATGTTTGAAAAGCAAGCTGGATTAACACACTTCCCTATTATTCAAAGAACCACAAACAAACTGATGTCGAATAGCCCTTGCCTACGAGGGGCCTTCTCGATCTGACGTCATCGAAAGTGAAATGTCAAACATGGTATCGTGTTCCCGACAACGATTATCTGCAGAGCTCAAAGCTCAAGCCTGATTCATGAGAAAGCGGTGTTTTGGAAAGCCAAAATGATTACTTTTGTACAATCATTCCATTAATTTATTGTCACAAGCACACCACAACCACACCTTTTAACAGAAAGAAAAATTATACTTGTACATCATTTTTATTGGCTGATTATCTACCAAAAATTACAGATTGTAAATTCCAATAACAAACTCTTAATTGATGATAAAGGTAGTGCTTATGGCCAATTTTCTATTGAAAGGAAAGTAAACAGCGGGGCGAGGGGATATCGGAGAAGGATAAAATGATTTCAGACATTTTGATTGATTCTTTTCTCTTGGGAACCACATAAAAGCCCAAATTAATGTGGTTACATGTTGCTGTCTGAGATTTGAATATAAGATAACATTTGCCTTTCGCTATTTCTTACAATTCGCACTTCGATGCTCGGTTTGCCAGAAGATGCTTTCCAATACACAGGCAAGGAGAACGAAATGCATTAGATGAACATATAAAGCAACTAAAACAGGTGTAAACACAGTGTCTGCAAACCATCCACTGAACTTAACCGGTTACCGAGAAGAGAAGCACCCTTTATTTGAAAATTGTTTTCTTAAAACAACTATACGACAATCATTTCCATAACCACGGTGACCAAAATTTGTTACTTAAATTTGATTAATCTCGCACAACAAAACGAATTGATAACAAACTGAAAATATGACAATCGTCAAAAAAGGTTTACCTTGCAAACGGTCCTTCCTTATTCCTGCAACGTCCGTCAAGCGACAATATGATGCCTAAAAGCTTCCTTGCTTTAAAAGAGTTTATAAACTTTGCAACTTGGTGCATTCAAGTGGCCTCGCATACCATACCTTGTCTCCATTTGAATTTCCTTCCTGTGCGTGCCAATGCAAGGCAGTATTCTTTGGAAGATATTTCATAAACATAGTTTATCGTAATCGTGTATTCAAAAGCTTTCCTCTTGCGACTTTTAAAAAGAATCTGTATTGTTTTTAATAAATCGCTCCTGCTAATAGCCTTAGCGGTTTCTTATCCAAGGCTGCTCTATTGAGAATTAATTTTGGCTGTTAAGCTGCTTAGGTTGGTCAAATAGAACAAGACCAAAGGGGCAGACTTTGTATAACAAACATGAAGTGGAATATTAATTAGGGTGTCTCCACAGCTTAAAATGACGTAACAATATGTAGAATCAACACTTCATAATTTCCATATATTGGCCATTATTCTTCAATTTGGTTAATTATAGCTATTGTGTAATGGTTTAAGGCAGTGTGTTCATGTCAAAAGAGGGTGAATACCTCATTAGTTCATGCATAGTCAATGTAGATCGATGCACGATCGTTTAAACTGCTGATGAAATGCTGACATATCATTCTGCTGTTCTATGTTTTCATTGGCTTAGACCAAGCTTTTTGTCAGAACACACTCACTTAAATTTCTTACCCGAATTCCCACTTGTTTTTTAGTTTTCAAAGCTTGAGGGTACTGTCCAGAAGTGGAAACATATTCTAAGCCCCTGATTTTGTGTTATTTTGTTCTGCTTCCTTTTATCTCTTTCCTTTGTTTCGAATCTCTTACAGCATACGCTCTAATGTGATTGTCCGATGAATGTTTAATGCAATGCAGTGATGTCGCAAGGGGCACTTTACTAGTTGGAAGGGGCATTTTACCCTAGAAAGGTAGCAATTTTCAAAAGTCTTGCATAAGGAACCTCTATAATAAGAGGTTTTTTCTAAGTATTTTTTGGGGCAGGTAGGCCTCTGGGGGTAGGCCTCTGGTCTGACGTCCAAGATGCAATGTGGGATTGGATGGCCTAAAACTTGTGTTGCTGCTCGTCATGTAAGAGTCGGGAGAAAAAGGAGAGAACAGGGAAAGAACAGGGGGCAATAGGGGGCCAAAAGGCGGCAACAGGGAGTGAACAGGAGGAGTATAGGGGGAGAACAGGGACATATGCCCGAAAAGGTTAAAAAATGCAATTTTTCCTAGATCATTTCGAAGAGATTAAGTGTCTCTTTTCTGAGACAAAGTGAACCTTCTTACCAAAATTCTTTAACTTTGAAATGATTCCAACGTCTCTGGCGATCTGTAAGTGGCAATTGACAGCAAACTATCAAAACAAGATTTATTTACTCAAAAATGAACAATGCAAAAGATCGAGACAATCTTTGGAGCTGAATCTGTGCTCTGACTGTTAAAGGTGAATTAAATCATTCAGGCTACGTTGCATAATTATTCCATAAATATACTAGCTTGCCTTTCGTGCCGTGTAATGCAACAACGTGGCTTTGAAATAGCTTGAACTTGTACGAGGAAAAATTGGCAGCCATTTATAAAATTGATAAACTTTTAAAATGACAAGTTTGTGAGATGACATTCTGCATAAACTAGGTTAAGTTAAGCTAGTTAGATTTAGTAAAAATTCATGACCCGCTTGTAATCTGAATAATCTAATGTCAGCAATTGGATTTAAATTAAGTTACTTGTACTCTCCGGCAACAATTGAAGGGTGATGATGCTGAATTTGTCAACTCAAAGAGACTATCGAAAGCTCGCTTCTCTACCGACAACATCCCCTCATTTTTGCTTAAATGTCTGCAATACAATTTCATTCTATTTTTCTTAATTTCATTAGTTATTCTCTCAAACTTATGGCAGGACATAATGTTTCTTACTTGTACAACAAGTGCAATAATTTTTAATATATTATCTTTTGCTATGTTTACTCCGAGTGTCCATCCTTCAGTCTGGTTTGTGATGGAGACTGAATCTCAAATTTGTAAACACAACGTGAAAGAAATACAGAATGTTATTGTAAAAACCCTGCATATTTCCCGTATATGACGCCAGAGAAACTCTAACCACAGCCTTACATCAACTAATAAGACAGTGTTAAATCAACTGTGGAATTTGATGTCTGGAAAAATTCAAAAACTATACATATTAAGCTGTGATTTGCTTCAATTCAACATTAATGCAATTAGGTTGTCTTATCATTGATCTGGAAATCTAAATGTTGGAGGAATTGTAGATACGGCTTCTCAGACCACATAAAGGATATCTCGAAGTGCGGCTAGACTTGGCTATCGTATGTGAGGTTTCAGGAAACTTTTTTGGCTCCTTCAAATGTAATTACATTCTGGTTAAGGTCCTTAAAATGCAACTGTAAGGTAGAGAAGTTTGGTTTAAAGAAGATACAAACTCAAGCAGGTAAGTGGCTTTCGACGATTTTCTAATTATTTACAACTTAAAGCAATTTGAATATCCAACTATAAATCTATCTACTGGTGAAAAACAGTACTGAGATATTTTCAACAGAAAAGAATAGTGATTTAGTGGGTCTTGAACCTTGTTATATTGCTTGTTTGCTACATAAGACACATCACCTTTAAACGCCAAAACTGATTATGGAATATTCAAAGGGAACATTCGTTGATCATTAACGAATCGGAATGGCTGATGAGGAATGTGCCATTTCTAATAGGTCTGGGATGGGTCTGGACTTCAGCCTTGTGTTCCTGAAATTCCATTGATTGAGATTCTAACCGTTTTGAAGACAATTTCACAAATAATTTGTCTTGTTGCTGAGTTTCAAATTAGAAAAGAACCGCAAAGTCATCTTACCCTTGCAACCCCGAAACCTCCTTTTCCCTTTCAGATGCGCTGAGTCCCACCATTTCGTATTTATGTCTTGAACAGGAGTGTCGCTGAGAATTACAAAATACATCAAATTTTATATGCATTCGAAGCAGAGGCTCTCTAAAAAGGAGGGTAGAAATTCAGTGTTAGAGCGTCTTTCAGGCAAAGGGGAGCTTTTTCTACAGTCGATAACATGACTTGAGGTTCAAATACAAGTAAATTCTTTTTCGGTAGGGATAGCTTAATCTATTTCTTTGTGTCACTTCTACCAGCCTACTCAATGAAATTGAATCATCATATTTCTTAAAGCCATAATTGTCATAGCCCCCTTCTTTCTCTTATTCATTTTATCTTCTAGCACCAACATTAACCGTTATACAACTCCCTGTTAGTCTACAGAATTAACTGACCTCTTATGGCTGCCTTTGCAGAACTGTTTTTAAATTTGCTGATGCAAGCAAAATTTATGCCTATGCATTTTTGGCAAACAATTGAATCTGTTTCATACAAAATGCAGAAAGTCCCTTAAAACATAATTGCAAAGTTGTAATAATTGACCTTGTGTTCTCAAAATTTTTATAAGTTGATATGTTACAATAGTTTTATTTTTAACCAAATAAGGCTTTTTTACTTTTTGTTACATTCATTGTTGCTAACAAAATCTGTTCTTCAGTTTAGCTATTAAATTACTGGTAAGCAAAATACATTTTAACATTATCTATTTTTATCAGCCGATGCAGTAAATGCTGAATGCAACTCATAGTTTCTCTAACACGAATGCATATCCATAAAATTTATAAATCCTTGTTTAATACCAATTGACTTAGAGCTTTGCACAGTTTTGAATTGGTGACATTCAAAGCTGGGAAATCGAACTAAAAATAAAGAAGCAGTAATGAATACTTTCAAAATTATCAAAATCCTTTCAAGATCCTTTATTATTTCTAAATGATAGAATAGAAACCGGAATTTCTTGAAAGAATTTCTTGTTATCTCGGCAGAAATATCCTGTTCGCTGAATTTTGCTGTCAGTGCAGAAAATCAAACCCATGTCTACTCTTGCGATTATTTTGCTACCGTTTTGTGCTTCTCTTGTTTGCCTAAAATCGTTGTATTATCAGTACCAGGATTCTTTCTCAAAGTAACGTACTGTCTGTTATCGAGATTGCTATACCATAAGATGATTTATCAATGAGAGAATTACGCCAATACTTATGTATGGATGAATAAGATTATGAACATAAGAACATTGTCAAATAATAAACAATAAGATTACTTCAATACCATGTGGCTAATGAAGCGTCAGCCAAGTGTGATGTGGTAGGATTCAATCTAAAGCTATTCCATATATCAGATGTGAGATCGGCTCTAGCCTTTTGTTTTGTAGCTTTTGATTGTTACAGTATTGAGTAGAGAGGAATCCAAGAGATATGATGATTAATTATTCATTGCAAGTGAACAGCAATCTATCTTAAATTGAGACATGCTGGCTGTACGACTTTCCATCAGAGTTGCCCAATACTGAGATGCACAAATATCATCATTCCTTTATTAGCACGATATCAAGAGCATTATCGACAACATGAGGTATCCAAGGGCCGCCATTCAGAGTATCACATTCAATTGTCTGCATTTTTGAATGGTACTTGTGTACTGAAGTAAGTTTATGACTTTTTATCAGCCTTTCGCAAGAAAGTTTAGTTTATAGAAATAACGACCAATTTTAGAAATTAACACAAATTTCTTACCTTTTAAAGCGTCACCAGCCCCAAAATAGTGGGGTGGACAATGAAGGGGTGGAGCTGATAAAGGAGTCAGGGTGAGAAACCGGTGCAGCGCCGTGCGAGAAGTCGCGCTCGTTATTGATAACCAAGTTTGACATATGTTGAAACCCTCAATAGAAGAGTTAAATTTCATAGGCAAAGGTTTACACACATAAAAGTTAATAACATAAAAGTTACTTTCAGAGGGGTAATTTTTTAGCTAGCAATGGTTTTAAACTTATTAATGAGGCTTCCTTTGTCTATTTTATCTGCCATATCTCGATCAATTGTAATTTGAACTAGGTTTCCCAACTTTTCGTCAGACATTGAGGCACTTTACAATCCTTACAGCTTATAAAAGTTTGGGTACTAGTTTAACATGTTCACCCCAGTCCACCCCGTGGCGCAGACCCTGCACCGAATTCTGACTCTCTTAAACTGAATATTGAACTCCAATTTCTCTATATATACTTAATAAAATCTGGAACAGATACTAAACCCTGTTTTCAGAGATTCTGATAATTTTTCTCAATGACTTTCTGGCAAAAGAGAAGGGATGTAATAAGAAAGCAATTTTAGTTGTCTATCTGTGGATTTTTATAAGTATTTGCTTGATTCAAGATTACACCAACCAAAGTGCTTTTGGGTGGGTAGAACAGCTTCTTTCACATCTCCAGAAGTCCACCGATTTATAAGTTTAACAACGTTTTTGAATAAGATTTTTATGCCATCAACACTTTCCTGCCAGCAACAACGAATGGCCCCAATACCTTGCTAATGGACAAAATTTTACACCAAGGAGGCATTGAAGAAATTGTCAAGCAGAGATTTCCAATGTGATCTAGCTGTAACCTGATAATGATTATTGTGTGTGATCGAACCGATCGCCTTCTGTTCCTCTAAATTTCTTCACACTCGCTAATAGAGTTCTTAAGTGTGACGTCACTCGCTATTTTTTCAGTAACATCATTTTAGCAATAGTAGATAAGAAGTTCCGACTAGGACCTTCCGACTCAAATCCTCATTAGAAATAGAATCTTACAGAGACTTTTAATTTCAGTCCTTTGCCAGGAAGGAGAAAGAATAACCTAAGAAAATTGAACAAAAAAGCGAAGAAGGAAATTAATTTTGTGACAGCAGGATGATTGTGCAAAAGCAGCGTGTAATGAGGCTCATGGAGATTCTACCTATGTTACCTGAATTCAAACGTTATAGAAGCCGGAATATAAAAACGTTTGGTGGCAAACACTTGATAAATTTCATCAAATATGCAAATCCTATTCCATAAACATCATGAATTGGTAATGTGATATTTTGAAAAATAATTATTCGCTCCATACATTATGTTGAATTTACGGCGACATTTTCTTCACATATCTTAATGAAAGCTATTCTTCTTGACATTTACTCGATTGTGTTTTCTTTCACAAAGGATTTCTGTAGAAGTTTACCTTATCAAAAGGTAGGTGATTCCTGGTGCTCATATTCAAAATTGATTAAACTGAATTGACTGACACACCTGTGCGTACTCCTCTGCTGTTGTCATCAAAGGTTGGAGTACAAGTTTCTTTGTTATCCATCTGGTTTGTGTTTATAAAGAAAGAAAGGCCCTTCAGCCGCTGCAAGATCACTTCATAAGTCTTCATCAAAAGGGATAATAATGGAGCAGCTAAGAATATTCAAGTATATTTCATAGAACCTTTTGTTGTTCACAAATATGGGTGAAACTAAAGAATTCAAATATATATAATCGTTTGTTTTTAAACTAAAACGTTGTCTAATCAGTCGTAATTTTGTCTGTTCGGTATGTTTCAACCATGAAATGAAATTTTATAAAAATTGACAGAGGATGTGTTTGGATGAGGATTATTAAAAGCAGCTTACTGAAGTGATGGTGCCTCGGTTTCCAGTGAATGCTAATTGCTATGGAGCTAATAACACATGAAGCATAATGTCAGTATTGAAAAGATAACTCGTCAGAAAGAGGATCATTTTTCACCTGCAATGGTTTAAGCTCTGTTTTCTAATCAGATAACGGAAAAACTCTTGCTACGAACACAACTTACAGCAATGCACTTAAAAAATCTTGCTTTGAATAATGTTTTATTTCTTGCTTTCATTCTGTGTTCCATGCTTTTGTTCTTTAAATATACCAAAAATAAACTAACTAAAACCTAACAAGAATCATATAGATTTGACTTCTCTTTTGATGTTAAAAGATTTTAAAATTTCATAAAGCAACAAAGAACTGAAAAAGGAAGACAAATCAAACCAAGTTAAATATAAATATGATGTGTATAATGTCGTTAAATTTACGTGAATATTTGAAGGGCCCTATTTTCAAATAAATGCATTAATGTCAGTTAAGAAATTAAGAACTACATTTAAACGGTGAATATTTGGCAAGACGTATTATTTAAATTTGGCTATTAACATAATCTTAAATGTTTGGAAAATCTGATTGAAATAGGACAAAACTCTGAAGACCTATAAAATAGAAATAACCTATTGCTTCGTTTCTA